ATCAGCGCCCGCTGGGACCATGTCTACAAGTGGGGCGCGAACCTCGGGTGCAGGATCGCGAAGTCGAGGTACGTCGCGCGAGAGTTCAAGTGGCAGGGGTATCGCGACGACCTCTTCGTGCCAGGGAGCAGCATGGCCGACGGCCGAGTGGTGGACTACGTGGCTCTGAAGCACGGATGGCCCACCTTCACAGTGGACGCGGAAGGCGTGCACTACCACGTCCCCGAGGAGGAGGGCGCGTGGGTTGGGTGCCCACCTGAGATCCTGGAGGAGTGCCGCGCGAAGGGCGACACCGAGGACTGCGTCTGGCAGCTCGCGAAGCAGTTGCCAGGGCGGCGTGCTGGAGGGAAGCGCTGGGTCGAGTTCGCCGCGGAGCAGCTCGTGGCCAGGGGTTTCGAGCGGTCGCCGACCGCGCCCCAGTTCTTCTGGCGCGCCGAGCTCCCATGTCTGGTAGAGCTACATATGGGCGACATGTACGGCACCGCGCCTGGGGTAGCAGGGTCAGACTTCGTGCTGGACCTGGGCCGTAACATCAAGGTGAAGTGGTCAGGCCTGCAGGGCGAGGGTGCCGGCTACGAGTTTCTCAGGGGGCGGCGTGTGCGGGATGCCGACGCCACCTACATCCAGCCCAACGAGAAGTACCTCACGACGGCGCTGGAGGCGCTGGGCCTTGAGGAGGCCAACCCGTGCGCCACCCCAGGGGTGGAGGCACGCAGGGCAGGCAGAGATGACGCGCCTGATCTCAGTCCAGAAGAGGCCAAGCTGTTCAGGGGCGTGACCATGTGCCTGTTGTTCTACATGCATGACCGCGAGGGCGCCCAGTTCGACATCAACTACCTGACCTCGTGCATCTCGTCGCCCCGTGAGGTGGACATGCGAGCCCTCAAGAGGCTGGCAAGGTACCTGAAGGGCACGAGGGACCTGGGCGCGAGGATGGCCAGGCCCACCACGCCGCAGGATATCGTCGACCTGGTCGCGTGGGCGGACTCCGACGGGGCAGGTGACACGAAGGAGAGGAAGAGCCAGACCAGCGTGCGCATCGCTGCATTTGGGTGTCCGATGCTCGGGTTCAGCTGTCCCAGGTCGCGCAGTCCCTCAGCGGCTGCGAAGCCGAGTGGCGCGCTGGAGTTCGAGGCCTCAGCGAGGGGCTTGGGCTGAAGGCGCTCTTCGCGTTCGTGGGCTACAGTGTGCGCATGAGCTGGCGATGCGACAGCTCGAGTGCGAGAGCGCTGGCGAGGCGTCGAGGCATAGGGGGGGCCGGGCACCTTGCCACCAAGACGCTCTCTGGACCCAGCAGCTGGCGGCCTAGAAGGTCATCGCCATCGAGCCTGTGGGCGGCGAGAACAACCTGGCGGATCACGGCGCAAAGGTGCTGCCGAGGACGCGCCTCGAGCGGCTCCGTGAGAGCTGCGGGCTGATGGAGGCGCCCGTGCCAGGGGCCTCGAGGGTCGCTGCAGTCGGGACCAGCCCGGCTGACTTCCAGACCCAGGCGAACTGGTTGGAGGCGCTGCTCGCAGTGGCTGCGTCACTCCCCACCGTGGCGAAGGGGGGCTCGACTGAGCTGTGCGAGGTTCCACTCGGGATGGACGAGAGCGCGTTAACCCCAGTGCATGCGCTGGGAGTCACGGCCGGGGGCCACCATGTGAGCCTGATCGTGCTGATGTCGGGTGTGAGCCTAGGGCTCATGCTTGGCGTGCTTGTGCGTTCTTTGATTTGCTGGTGCTGTCCGGGCGCGAGGCCAAGCTGGTGCCGCACGGACTTCCTGCCGCGCGAGGTCGACGGCGGGAGGCCGCGTCCTGCTCTGCTCGAGGGGATGAGTGAGCCAGCAGTTAAGATCAAGTCTAAGAAGGGCGACTGCAGAAGGTCGGTTGCCACCCAGGGCCAGGTCAAGTATACCTGGTGGTCGACCAGCCCCCGTTTCCAGCCTCTAGGACCCCGAGAGCACGGGGCGTGGTCCGAGTAGGGGCCTTGTGCTGTGTACTGCATTGATGCACTGCACGCGCATCCATCGACCTCCGAGGCCTGGCGCCGAGGCACTGCGGGCTCTAGTTCCTTTTTCTAGAACCCTGGAGGGAGTGGTGACCCCGAGGGGTGTCCGAGGAGGAGCGGGCCCACCACCAGCTCCCCGCTCGGCCAGGCGGCGTGCTCGGGATCTTGTGTGTGTTCGGACGCTGTCAATTCAAGACATGCCCGCAGGCCCTTTTGTTCGAGCTGCGTGGAGGAAAAGGGCTCCAAGTTGCGCTTCCCCCACGCTTCCGCGTAACTTCCGCCAAATTGGGCCGGGCAGGTCTACGCTAGCATGTTCGCCGACGACAATGGCGAATCCATCAGGGACGTTTTGGATTTCGTTTTTGGTGCGTTGCGCCGAGAAGTATCTACTCATAACAACAAGTACACCAACGATCAGAAAAACAGGGTGGCCAACCTGACCATGACTACCCCGCCATTCCCCAAGTTTGATTCAACCGTGTTCGAACAACACTTAAACAACGAGGGCACGCCTGACAAGGAGGATTCTGACAAGATGGACCCAGCAGGTGATGTACGGGAAGAGGCGTAAGGTGAAGCGCGTGCACGGTTGCCAGGGCAACGCGTAACGTAATGATCATATTGTCAGCTTCCATGATACACGAATGGGTTTTCATGACATTGTGGACGCTGCCATCAACCCCACCACCAGCACAGGCGCGTGACAAGTTCAAGGGCAGCATTATCCGTTCCATGAGCGTATGCACCTTCGCTATTGAGTTGCCCCCGTCCTCTAAGAAGGCCACCGCGCTTCGCGGCGCGCCCGTCGCCCAGTTCTGTGCCGCTTCCGGGCGTTAGCGGTCGTTCGTTCGTTCGGTCAGCAGAAGGCAGATTTCCAGGAAGGCTATCTTCTGCAGAACGACGTTCAGCCAGAGTGTGTGGAAGCCAGAGCGCACCAGATCAATTTTCAGCCTTCAAGGAGAATCTTTTCAGCCAGAGTTGGAGAAAGGCCCTTTCCTCGCACTCTGGCTGAACAGATTTTCCTGCATGTGCCGAACAAGCGGTGAGCTTCGCGGGCGCCCAGGGATGTCAGCGCCGACGCGGCGGATAGGGGTAACGACCGTCGGGTATGCGAGCGTTTTCGACAAATCCCCGTGGGCAAGGGCGGCGTTCGGCCGAATTCTCATCACACGTGGCGAACCAGGGCGGGCTAGGGAAACATCACGGGTGGGGGGAAAGCAAGGGAGCAGGGGGAGGCAGGGCGAGTGGGATGGAGGGGTCCAGCCGTCCAAAGGTGATGGCGCAAGGTCGGCATGAGGTCGGCACGCGTCTGGTCCCAATCTTAGCACGTTGGACGCGCGAGCGTCCTCGCCGCAGCCCGAAATTGCGCGACATGGCATTGGGGCAGGCACAGCTTATTGCAAAGAACGCTCATTGCTTCTGTTCCCAATCCTACGCTCATCGCGGATTGCGGCCGGCATGATGCTGCCACAACGATGTGACATTCGCCATGTTGGCCGCAAGGTCATTCGAGCCTCCCTCTCTCGCTCGCCGACCTGCCGCGTGTGAAATACAATCAGAATGTCCGGGCGTGCTTTTCGCACCACCGAATCGGGGGAAGCCTTGCGTAAGCTCATCACAGAAACACCAGGCGCTTGTTTTCGCTCTCCGAGCTCACTCATCCGTTGCGTGGCGAGTCCAGCCTAAAAGGCCAGCGCGCACTCCACCTCCACCGCTTGCTGCGGGACAGGGGATGCGACGCCGCCGCGAAGTTTGCGGGGCGAACGTCGGAAACGACCCGCATCTACAGTCAAAGCGCCTAGTTAGGACGCGCGACTTCATCTAGGGTGCCTTCGTGTCCTTGCCTGTGCGGCCCGTCATTTGCTGTTTTCGCTGGTCCCTCCCTGGGTTAGGGTACCGTTGCGTCCCTGGGGTTTGGGTCGCCCGCCGCAAATGCCGACTTCGGCCTCCGAAGGTTATGCGTTCTCACCTCCCGCTTTTCGTACACCTTTTTGACTCCAACACGCCGCCATGTCGAGCCCCGCCAGCGACAAGGGGCCCGCCGCGAAGAGGCGGGGCCCGGAGGGAACGGGGTCGCCCTCGGCCGCGGGGGGCCTTTTTCCCAGACCATGTGCAGCCGCCCAGAGACGGCTCGGGAGGGAAGCGCCGACCTTGAGGAAGGCTCGAATAGGGGATCGACTACAGAACTGATGTACCCCAGAATTGACTTTCTCATGCGTAGAGTGTTCGTAGATCTACGAGCACTACGCAGCTCTCATGGATTCGAAGAGCACCTTAATTCTGGGGCAAATCAGTTATGTAGTCGATCCCCTACTCGACAACTCGAAAGACCCCTTTCGGCGACAATGGGTGTGGTTACTACGCTGGGGTGCGATCTGCGTCTTTAGGGCTTTGGTGGCAAGACGTTGCTTTCCTCGGGGCCTCTTCGGGATGCGGCGGAGAGCTCTGTCGAGGTCCTCGCCTGGCCCCCAGGGTGCGGGACGCAACCGCACCCTTGGGAAACCATCCCTTCGGAGTCGCCGACCCTTGGCCCGAGGTCCGCTTCCCCCAGGACCCTTCTTTCTCATGGTAAAGCGTTCCCCTCCCCTCCTCCCCCATCTCCCCCCCTTCCCGGGAGGGGACTCTGCCAGTGGCAGAGCGCAGCTCGTGCGATCGAGCGCTGGAGGCTCGTACCAAACATCCGTGGGCCATATCGCGGGGACCAGACAGCGTGGAGCACCCGGGAAAACGATCGTGCGGCGCTCGTGCACATCTGCGCGGGCCCTGGCCCGCCCGCGCTGCTCCTGGGGGGCCCGCCTGCGGGCGGACACGCGCGTCTCCCCCTTCACCACCCACCAAAACACCCCAACCCAACCCGAAGGCTTCAACTTGCCCTCCATTTCCAGGGGGGGGGTCGGGGAATATATTCAGAAAACAAATATGGAACCCGTACCCCCCCAACCCGAAAATTCGGGTCTTCGGGTTGGGTTGGGGTGGTCTGGTAGGCAGTCGCGCCTTCCCGCCCGCCCCAGAATTTCCGCGCGCTCTGCACCGGCGAGAAGGGCAGCCTGCGCGGGAGACATCGGAAAGGATGACTCCGCCTCCGCCACTCCGTCGCGGATGCGGAGGACGAGGGTGAGGAGGAGGACGAGGGTGACGAGGAGGAGGAGGAGGAGGAGGAGGAGGAGGACCCCTATCCCTAGCGCGGGGAGCGCGCAAGGGGCGACGCCAGAGGCGCCTCCTAGGGCCGTGCAGCACGGATCCGAGAAATCCGCGCGGACCTCCAGAATTTTTTCCCAACCATCCTGTGGTGTTGGGTCCTCGTTTTGAAGAGACGGCGCCCCGCGTTCCTCACCTCCTCCTCCTCCTCCCCCCCTCCCTCCTCCCATCATCATCATCATCATCATCATCATCATCATCATCATCATCATCATCATCATCATCCATCATCTCATCATCACACATCATCCCCGCATACGCTCCCGCACCAGATTTTCGGCACACCCCTCAGACGTTTCGTGGCCCCATAGGGGGCTCCACCGAAGGCCCCAGTGGCAGGGTCCGCATGCCTCCCACCACCCATTTCGGCACACCCCTCACACGTTTCGTGGCCCCATAGGGAGCTCCACCGAAGGCCCCAGTGGCTGCGCCCGCATGCGGTTCCACCCCCCATTCTGGCACACCCCCTCACACGTTTCGTGGCCCCATAGGGAGCTCCACCGAAGGCCCCAGTGGCTGCGCCCGCATGCGGTTCCACCCACCATTCTGGCACACCCCACACACGTTTCGTGGCCCCATAGGGAGCTCCACCGAAGGCCCCAGTGGCTGCGCCCGCATGCGGTTCCACTCCCCATTCTGGCAAACCCCTCACACGTTTCGTGGCCCCATAGGGAGCTCCACCGAAGGCCCCAGTGGCTGCGCCCGCATGCGGTTCCACCCCCCATTCTGGCACACCCCTCACACGTTTCGTGGCCCCATAGGGAGCTCCACCGAAGGCCCCAGTGGCTGCGCCCGCATGCCTCCCCACCACACATTTCGGCACACCCCTCACACGTTTCGTGGCCCCATAGGGAGCTCCACCGAAGGCCCCAGTGGCAGGGTTCGCATGCCTCCCCACCGCCCATTTCGGCACACCCCTCACACGTTTCGTGGCCCCATAGGGAGCTCCACCGAAGGCCCCAGTGGCAGGGTCCGCATGCCTCCCCACCACCCATTTCGGCACACCCCTCACACGCTACGTGGCCCCATAGGGAGCTCCACCGAAGGCCCCAGTGGCAGGGGTCGCAGGGGTTCGCATGCCTCCCCACCACCCATTTCGCACAAACCCCTCACATTCGTGGCCCAATAAGGGAGCTCCACCGAAAGCCCCAGTGGCAGGTTCCGCATAGCCTCCCCACCACACATTTCGCACAAAAGTCACCCCACACATCAAGTGACGTTTTCGTGGCCCCATAGGGAGCTCCACCGAAGGCCCCAGTGGCTTGGTCCGTATGCATCCCCGACACCCATTTCGGCACATCCCTCACACGTTTCGTGGCCCCATGGGGATTTCCGCTGAAGGCCCCAGTGGCAGGGTCCGCATGCCTCCCCACCACCCATTTCGGCACACCCCTCACGCGCTTCGTGGCCCCATAAGGGGGCTCCACCGAAGGCCCCAGTTGCTGCGTTCGCATGCCGCCCCCACACCAATTTCGGCACACCCCTCACACGTTCCGTGGCCCCACAGGGAGCTCCACCGAAGGCCCCAGTGGCTGCGTTCGCATGCCGCCCCCGCACCAACTTCGGTGCACCCCTCACACGTTTCGTGGCCCCATAAGGAGCTCCACCGAAGGCCCCAGTGGCAACGTTCGCATGCCGCCCCCACACCCATTTCGGCACACCCCTCAAACGGTTCGTGGCCCCATAGGGAGAACCACCGAAGACGGTACTCACACCAGCATTACTCACAACTGCATCTGGTTGGGTCCTTCGCCAGGCTAATTTGTTCCCAGGCAGGCCTTATTCGAGATGGGGAGATTGAGTAGGAGGAGGAGGAGGAGGGAAGGAAGAGGAGAGAGGGGAGAAGGAGGCGGAGAGGAGGAGGGAGAGAGGAGGAGGAGGAGGGGGAGGAGGAGGAGGAGGAGGAGGAGGACAAGTGTAAACGCAAAACGCATCAACGATGTTGCAATACACCCTCCCTCCAAGTTCCCTCGCCAAAGGTCCCCTCAAACATTGCTTTTTACTGCTGGACATGCCCCGTTGGAAACCATTCCTGGGGCTGCAACGCCGCGAATCCAGGTTACTGCACATCCTGGCGATCTGGAATCGCGCCAGAACGCTGTTTTTTTGGACTCAAACCCGCGAATCAACTTGCCTGTTGCGCCCTGCCAATCCTGAATCGCGCCAGGACACCATTCCTGGGACGTCAACCATCATAATATGTTTGAACTTGCTGAGTACTTTTGAGGCGACAAGGATGAGGAGGAGGAAGAGGAGGAGGAGGAGGAGGAGACCTTGCGGCGCTCGCCCGTTCAGGCCTGGGCCGTCCGAGGCGAGGCGCAGATACAGACCGCTGCGCCGTGGGGCCACTCCTCGTCCCTGTCTTTCTTCCTCCTCTGCCTCGCGCCCTTTCGGGCTGAGTGGTCTTGGAAGCGGCTGGCCTTTTTTATTTTCGGAGGTTGATAGACCTCCTACCCTGACACGTCGATTAAGGAATTGGCCGTTTTCGGTTTGCGAGAGGGCGTGCGGCCGTCATTTTTGCGGGTCCAGGTTCTTCGGTTTCGGTCCTAGGCCGTTTTCACTAAGGGGAGGTTTACTAAAGGGAGGTTTGTCCACCGCCGATACTACCGTTTCCAGAACATTGACGGTGAGAAGCAGAACGGTAAAACAGCGGTTCGCCGAAACGAGAATTATCGGTTACGCGACGGGAGCCAGGAAGAGAAGGCCACGGAGCCAGAAAACAAAAGGTCGCCGCAAGCGGAACGAAATCGGACAACGGCGCAACGAGAACGGACGCACGACATTGCCGTGTCTTCCAAGGACCACTGAGCTCTCCGGCCCTCTCCGTCGCCCGATCCCCCGCTGGCCTGTTGGCAAGTGTCGGCCATGCGCAGAGGGGGGTAGGGGGAGGGGGGAAGGCTTCTTAGAGGCACCCCTGCTTCTTTGAAGGCGCTGGCCTTATCTATAGATGTAAGCCCGGCGCCTTCGAAGAAGCAGCCTCTTTCTAAGAGGCCCTCGCCCTCCCTCCACCCCCTTGTGCGCGCCGCCAAAAGTGCAGCACTCTCCCCGCTGTGCGCGGGGGCCGTCTCGGTTGCTCGGCCGTGCGGAGCCTGGGCTCGCCGCGGAGCCCGCGCCCCGCGGGCGCGCGGCTAAGCTTCACTACAAGGGCATGCGGTTCCACCGCATCATCCCTGGCTTCGTCTGCCAGGCCGCTGGTGGGATCCCGGCCGTCTGACTCGTGCCTTCGAACCCGGGAGGGTGCTGCTGGAAAGGGAGTCGGGCAGCCTTGCCAGACACTCCCCTTTCTTCTCCGGGTGCCCGAGTGCCCAGGGGGGGAAGCCTTGTCACGCGTGACGCTTGGTTCTGCGACTGTCCAGAGGGCCGTCACGTATGGCTTGTTTGATGTCCGCGATGCCTCCAGCGGGCTTGCCCCAAGGCTTTCTAGGAGAGCATTTAGGTATTTGGGCGTCATCTTTTGGGGTATTCGGGCAATCTTGGAGGGTCTCAAGGCACTCTTGGGAGCTTTAGAACAGGCTTGGAGGGTGTTGTGTCGTGTGGTGGGCGCCTTTGCGCTCGCTTGGACGGCTCTGGCTGGTCTTGCTCTGGCCTGTCTTGAGACCGTCCTTGGCGCAGTCTTTGGCTGTCCTGGTGCCGTGCTGCTGACTCCCTGCGACGTTCCGGTGCCGTCTTGGGGCCGCGCACGGCCTCCTGGGGGCCACTGCGGGGACAGCGGGCGGTCGACCTAGCTCAGTTCATGTTGCCCTGGACATGCTTAGTGCAAGAATTCTGTTCCCAGTGCCATGCGTGACCACCTGTCTGCTGCCATACTTACCCGTTCTCCTTGCAGCCGTCGTCGTGAGAGGGTGGCGACTGCACCGGGGACAACTCCATCTACGGCGGCAGCTTCGCGGACGAGTGGGCGAGCTGGGAGGGCCGAGTGGCAGCCTGTCTCGCCTCGAGGAGAGAGCTGACCAAGATGTCGCGGGATCTTGTCGCTGCAGATCTTGGTCATGGTCCATGCCAGAGGGGGAGGGGGAGGGAGAAGGTGGAGGAGGAGGAGGTGGAGGAGGAGTACGAGGGGGGGATGGGAGTGATGGGAGGAGTTTGGAGGAGGACAGGTGGAGGTAGAGGAGGGAGAGGAAGGAGGAGGAGGAGGAGGAGGAGAGGTGGGAGGAGGAAGGATGAGGAGGGGGGAGTGGGGGGGGGGGCGAGTGGGGGGGTGGGGGGGGGGGGGGGTTGGGAGGGGGGTGGGGGGGGGGTGGGGGGGAGGGGAGGGGGTGGGGGGGGGGGGGTGTGGGGGGGGGGGGGGGGTGGGGGGGGGGGGTGGGGGGGGGGGGGGGAGGGGGGGTGAGGGGGGGAGGGGGGGGGGGGGAGAGGGAGGGGGGGCGGGGGGGGGGGGGTGGGGGGTGGGGGGGGGGGGAGGGGGGGTGGGGGGGGGGGCGGGGGGGGGGGGGCTTTGCGATCGCCTCTCCCCCTCGGGGCGCCGTGCGCCCAGCGCCGCTCCGCCCACCTCCTGGGGCCCTGACGCCCACCTCCTGCCCGGCGCGCCCTTGCCTGCGCCGACGCCCGGTGCTCGCTTGTCCTCTCGCCAAGAGGGCCCCGCCCAGCTCGCCTCCCCGGGGTCCTGGGCGGCGCCCCCGGGGGCCGCGGCCGCTCTCTGCCCCCGCGCCCGGCGCCTCCCTCCCCCCCGGCCGAGCGCAGCGCTCCCGGGAGCGCCCGGGGCCCCGCGGACAGGCCGGGCCGCGGGCGACACAGGGTCGGCGCTCAAGATACACGCCGGCCCCCCCCCCCTGCCCTCCTCCTCCTCCTCCTTCTCCCACCTCCTCCTTCCTCCTCCTCCTCCTCCCCGTCCTCCTCCTCCTGCTCCTCCTCCACCGTCCTCCCGCTTTCCCCTCGTACTCCTCCTCCACCTCCTCCTCCTCCACCTTCTCCCTCCCCCTCCCCCTCTGGCATGGTCGGCGCTCAAGACAAATGGGGGTCAGCCAGGGCACCAGATCCTGCAGGATCCTGCGAGGACCCCCTCTGGCCGACCCGGGTTCGCGAGCCGCTCGTGGCCGCGAAGCGGCCGCGCAAAATTGGCCGACCCGGGTTTGCGAGGCCCTGCGTTGCAGTTTATTTGTTTTTCCTGCATTGCAATTTTCGGGTTCCTGCTGACCCAGGTATGATCGACCCGGGTTAGAAGATCCCCGACAGGGGGTAACGGGTGGGAATGGAGGGAGAGCGTGCGTGGACCATGGCCAAGGCTCGAAGAAGAAAGCAGGCCATGAACAGAAATTGTTGGCACTCCGCGCGGATTTTTTGGATCCGCGCTGGGCCCCCCTGGCGGCACCTCCGGCGCTGCCCCTGGCGCGCTCCGCGCGCCAGGGAGGGGGGTTTCGGCGCGGCTTCAAGAAATCCGGGCAGACCGTCGAAAGTTTATGTTTATGTGTTTTTCCGGAGGGAGAGAGTGCGAGGACCATGGCCAGGACCGCACGCGGAAGCGTCACCGGCCACCTCGGTCACCGTCGCCGTCCATCATTGTCATTGTCAGTTCGTGGGTCATCCTCGCATATCCGCGACGGCCGGTATGCCCCCTCCTCCAATCCTTTCCCTTATGAGTAGCCCTTCCCTGTCGCAACCCGAGGCCAGTTGGAAGGGCGGCCCAGGCAGTTCGCCTGAGACTTCCTTTCCATTCGTGATCCTGGAGCTTAATATTTGGCAACAGCTTCACAGATGGAGGGCGGGCCGCTTCCAACATGTCGCTCTCGCCTTAGCGCCGCGCACGTTCGCTTTAAACATGTGCAAGAGCTTCACGGATGAAGGGCGGGTGGTTTTCAAAATGCGTTTCTCGTTTAGCGCCGCGCACATAATTTTTCAACATTTGGAAGAGGTTAACATATCGGGTGCTTCCCATAAATAAGAGCGCTCAGGACTGTTAGGGCCTAGGGCGCAACAGTTAGGTTGATTCGCGGTGTTGAAGTCCCGGGAATGGTGTTGTGCCACGATTCAGGACCATCAATCTGCCACGGTAGTATTGATTCGTGGCGTTGAAGTCCCGAGAATGGTGTTTTGTTACGTTTCGGAATCTTCAAACAGTTATCTTCCAACAAAGTACTTCCATCCGTGGAAATGACCGTTTGTAGGGGCCTATGAAGAGGGAACTTCGATTGATGCCTTATCCCAACATAGTTGATGCGTCTTGGGTCTACACACTGGACCTCCTCCCCCTCCCCATTCCCCCTCCCCCTCCCCATTCCAGTCCTTTCCGTTCTTCTCCATCCCTCGTCCTTGTACGTCGCTCTTTCCTGTCGCACCCGGGCACGGGTCAGAAGGGCGGGCTGCGCGTTTCGCTTGGGACGTTCTCACGGTTTATGATCCTGCACCTATTCACAAGAGCTTCACGGATGAAGGGCGGGCCGTTTTGTAAATGTGGCTCTCGCCTCAGCGCCGCGTGCATTCGGTATAAGAGCTAGCAAGAGCTTCACGGATGGAGGGCTGGTGTTTTTTAAGTGCGTTTCTCGCTGAGCGCTGCTCGCACTCGTTTTAAACATTTTGAAGAGGTTCGCAGATGGAGGGCGGTGTTTTTCAGGATATATGGGTTTTTGCTTTAGCGCCGCACACAGCCAGTGTAACATTGCGCAAGAGTTCTACGGAATCTCATGGTCAACATACCAAACATAGTCTTTGTGAGCGACTCAGGATTGTTAGGGTGCAGCAGTTAGGTTGATTCGCGGTGTTGAAGTCCCGGGAATGGAGTTCTGCCACGATTCAGGACCATCAATCTGCCACGGTAGTATTGATTCGTGGCGTTGAAGTCCCGAGAATGGTGTTTTGCCACGCTTCAGGATCTTCGAACAGGTGTCTTCCAACAGGGTACTTCCATCTGTGGACATGACCGTTTGTAGGGGCCTATGAAAAGGGAACTTGGATTGATGCCTTCTGCCAATATAGTTGATGCGTCCTGGGTTTACACTGGTCCTCCTCCCCCCTCCCGATTCCCCAACGGGGTACGGGGTACTTCCATCAGTGGAAATGGCCCCTGTAGGGGCCTATGAAGAGGGAATTTGGATTCATGGCTCATTCCAACATCGTTGATGCGTCTTGGGTTTACACTAGTCCTCCTCCCCCTCCCCATTCCCCCCCCCTCCCCATTCCCCTCGTCTCCGTTCTTCTCCATCCCTCGTCCTTCTAAACAGTCCCTTCCTGTCGCACCCCGACACGGGTCAGGGGGGCGGGCCGGGCGTTTCGCTTGGGACGTTCTCACGGTTTATGATCCTGAAGCTATACTTCACGAGAGCTTCACGGATGGAGGGCGGGTCGTTTTCTAAATGTGATTCTCGCCTGAGCGCCGCGAGTTTCACGGATGGAGGGCTGGTGAATTTGATCTTGTGTTTCGCGCTGGGCGCCGCGCACATTCGTTTTGAACGCCAGCAGCCGCTTCGTGGATGGAGCCCCAGCGCCGCGCACATTCGTCGTTACAGAGTGCAGATGTTTCACGGATGGAAGCCGGTTCTTTTTCAACATGTGGCGCTTGCTTTAGCGCCACGCACATTCGCATCAAAAGTTTGCTGGTGTGTCACGGGTGGAGGCTTCTTGCGATTGACGTCCCAGAAATGGAGTTTGGACACGTGTATTGATTGTCACGACGCGACAGTCACGGTGATTTCGGGTATTGGTGTCCCAGAAACAAGAACGTCCATTCGTGGCGTTGAAGTCCGAGAATTGGTGCTTCGACACGGTTGAAGATTACCAGATGGTCGTCTTCCAACGGGATTCTTCCCGCTGTGCAAGTACATGTTGTAAGAGCGGGAATTTGGGGGGATGGTGTATTGCAACATCGTTGATGAGTTTGGGGTCTGCACTGGTCGTCTGGAGGGGAAGGAGGAGGAGGAGGAGGAGGAGGATAGAGGGCAGGAGGAGTGGGGGGGCAACCGGGAAGGCGCCGTGCGCTCCCCTCCCGCTGCCGATGTTTCTGCGGCCTTCTCAGCCTTCTCCGTCGGGCCAGCACCTGCCTAGCTGACCTCTCGGTATGGCGCGCGGCATCCGCTTCCGCTATGCCGCGCGGCATCCGCGTCTCGGCGCGGCCAGCGTGCGCGGACGACGCGCGCTGGCCGCGCCAACGTTTGCCCCCAAAGTGCTGTGTGCACGTATTGGTTCGCATGCACCTGTGGTTTTACACACGCACGTGCGCACGCATGTGTGTCATTCAAGGTAATGTGTAGTGTAATGCTCGGCGTTGCGTCGCATTGCTTTGCATTGCTTGGCATTGCCTCGCATTGCGTCGCATTGCGTCGCATTGCGTCGCATTGCTTCGCATTGCTTGGCATTGCTTCGCATTGCTTGGCGTTGTTTGGCATTGCCCCGGGCAACCCGAGGAACCCGAGGAACCCGAGAAACCCCGGGCAACCCGAGGAACCCGAGCAACCTGAGGAACCCGAGGAACCCGAGGAACCCGAGGAACCCGAGGAACCCCCGAGCAATGAGCAACGTAAGAATGACTGAGGAACCCGAGGAACGCGATGAGCCCCCGGAGAACGGGCAAAGTAAGCCCCCGAGGCACCATTCTTCTTATTCAAGTAAGAACCCTTGAGGCAAGCCTAATCGGGGAATGATTGCGGCCTCTCGGGGCCCTCTTGGGAAGGCTCTTGGGAGGCCTCTTGGCGCGCCTCGAAGGCTTCTTGGGCCGTCTGGGGGCCATCTTGGGCGTCTTGGACAGATCGTGCGGCGATTCGGGACCCTCTTGGATCGTCCAGGCGGCCTCTCGGGGCTCTCTTGGTCCGTCTTGGGGCCCTCTGAGGCCCGAAGAAGAGAAGTCGTGCGACAAGACGCGACGGGCCCCAGAGGGCACGCGGGGAGCCCCGGGAGATTTGGCAGTCTGGGGTCCGGGCCCCCACGAGAATCCTCAGCACTGAGGGCTGGGGCACACTCGGGCGATTCCCT